ACTCTGATTTGAATTAATGTATCTGTGATGTGATTTCTATTTGATCAAATATCTGTTCTATTTGTTATACGACTTCTGTACTACTGTTTGAATTTTGTACGGCTATTCTGATGTGTCTTCTGAAGTGAATTTCTGGAGATTTTGATTGGTTAGTGTAGTCTTGCTGAGTTGTTAGCTTGTCCTTATTTTCTGCGTGGTTTTCAGGTTCTGGAAAAGGGAAGGAAGTCTTGGATTAGCAGTTTTGTGTTTGATCAGTGATCAAGTATTTTTGTACTTTTGATTTTTGTACCGTCATGGATTTTCTGTTCTGTTCTTTCTGTCTGTAGCCATGCACTGCATTGTATATGATTATTTTGATGAAATAAAGAAAAAAATAGTGGATGCATTTCTTTATATGTATTTGAAATCTATAGCAGCTCTGTGTTTTTGTTTGTTTGAATATCTGGAAGAAAGTCTGAAGCAAATTCCAAAACTAGATCCTGGATTTTCATCAGTTGTCGCGGCCCGACGCGAAGGGATTCGTTCTGGTCGGGTTGGGTCATGATATAGAAAGTTCACCTTGAGTTCCCCTCACTCTCACTCTTGAAGGTTGTTTTAACGGAAGAATAACTTCGGCAAACTTAAAGACATCAACAAAAGACACAATATGCCTACAGTATTGCCAAATGAAAACCTTGCCGGAGGGGAAGGAGTAGGTGGATGTTGAATAACTCGCCATTGTCCGAAGATTTGGTGCTCGTCGATGGAGGTCGTCAAAGTGAAGAGGATTCGGTCGACGTAGTCGTCAATGGTGTGGTCGATCTCCAAATTGAGCTAGAAGAAGGGTGATCTCAACACATTTACTCGTCCTTGATGATCGTATACGAATCCATGGTCTCTTTCAGGATCGGCCATTCATGGGGAGTAGGCCACGATTGTGTATCTTCTTCCTTAGATGGTGTATGAAGGGAGAAGAGAAGGAGAGGAGGGAGACGTTGGGGTGGTCAGCCAAGGCTAAGGGTCTACGCTACTTTAATTTCAAGTTTTGGGTTTAGGTGGGTGGACGGAAAAAAATTAAAATCTGAAATTTAATTTCATATTTTATAATTAGAAAGGAGGGAATAATTTTGAAATTCGAATCTCCTCTAATGGAGAATAAGTGAGGCAGCACACCTTGAAAGGAGGGCGTTGATTGAGAGCATTAATGGGGAGAATTAATTAAGAGAGAGGGAATAGGGGGGTCGGCCAAAGGAGGGAGAGGAAGGGTGTTCACATTCAACCAATGTGTCTACATTCAATGAATGTGTGATTTGAAATTAAATCCAAATTAATTTCCGATTGGGAGCAATTTGGGGAGCTTCCTCAAATAGATTTATTAATTAGGAAAGAGTTTGAATTTCAAATTTATTTGAATTCAAATTATGAGACTTTCCAAATTAATAATAGGATAAATTAGGAAGATATTTAAGGCAATCTGAATTGAAATCAATAGACTTGTGGATGAGTGGGCCAGTGGCTAGGGTGGGGGGCTAGGTAGGCCAGCGGCTTGAGGTGGAAAGGGGAGGAAGGCCGGTGGTTTGAGGAGGGAGGCCAGTTGTTTTCGGGGAAGTTGGGGAGAAGACCAGCAGTTTGGGATTGAGGAAGGCTTGGCCGGCAAATGTGGGGGTGGAGGGGAGAGGTTAGGCCGAAAGTGGGGAAGGGTGTGGGTGGCCGGCATTATTGAGGAAGAAAAAGATAGATGATCTGTTCCGCTGCATTTGATGTTTATAGTAGCTCTGTGCGTCTGTTTTTTTCTATAGGTTTGGAAGAAAGTTCTGAAACAAATTCCAAAGCCAGATCCTTGAATCAGTTCAGTCAGTCTGAATGTTCAGGCCCCACGACCCGATGCGAGCGGGACCCGTCCCGGTCGGGTTAGGTCGTGACACGTCGGGTTCGGGCTTCACGGACAGGGAGGCCGGCGTCGTCGTCGAACTGGAGTTCTACGGGCAAAGGGAGGCCGAGGTTCACGGCAACAGGGACGGAGGAGAGAATGGAGGGGCTTCAGCTTCTCCTGCTTGCGCGAATTGAGGGAGATCGAGAGGGAGAGCGTCCAGTTTCCTCCTGGAGCTCGCAAGAAGAGGCGTGAGAGGGAGCTGGGGGTTCAGAACCGAGAGAGTGAGAGGGAGAGCGTGAAGTTCGGTCTTGACACCGTGAGAGAGAATCAGATCCAGACAGAGGGCGCGGGAGAGAATGCCAAAAACTGAAGGCCTTCATCATGGGTAAATCGAATCCATTACCGAAGGAGGAAGCCCGCTTCTTACTGTCTCTTACTTTGGTCTCCAAAATTACCCCGAAAGAGGCTTCTGCGCTGCTCGATGTCTGCCTGAATCGCAGAAAATCGCTGAGGCGATTGATTTCGGCTGAAACGAAGACTTCGTTCGATCGAAGCCGTCAAGATTTTTTCCTGATTTAGAAAAGAAATTCAAAATATTTAGAAAGTCAAATGGCTCAAACAAGGATCAAATTGAGCTGAATCAAATCAAATTCAGCTAAGGTCGGGTCAGACTCGGGTCTGAATTTGACTCGATCCAAACCAATTCGAGCTCGAGCCGGCGCAACAAAATTAATCGTATGAAATTGGGTTCAACACAATAACCAATTTAAATCAAATCAGGTACGACACGACAAAAACGAACTAATCGAGTCTAATTGAACACAGTCGAGTCTGATCCGGCTCGAGTCGGGTCGATTCGAGCTCGAATTGGGCTCGACGGAGTTCGATTAAATCGATCGAAAGTGCTTGAGGGAATTCGAGCCAAAATCGAGGTCAACAATCATAACCCTAATTTTTGTTTGGCCACTATTTTTTTATTACTTTCAATAAATTTTGGTACAATGAATCTGTTTTCTATAATAGCTTAAAAAACAGCTTTCTCTATAGGAAATTTATCACCACTTTTACAAAAAAAATACAATCATCCCAAACAGACCCTTAGTATCAAATAATTGATAATAGATCTTGAACTACTAAATTTGAATAACTATCTAAATGAATCACCAAAGTAATACCCTATCAATATATAATTAAGCTATCATGTTAGCATAATTAATATAAGAGTGTTGCATCGTGGAACATTCATGGCGGTAGAGAAATAAAATGCTTAACATCCTAGTTTTGATTGAAGATTCATCACACATATAAATAAAGAGAGAGTGATGCAAGAGTTATAAGAGACACCACAATTTTTATGTGAAAAATTCTCAAAAAGGGAGAAAAACCACGGGGAGAATCCATTAGTGTTTATTGTTTTCATCAGGAAAAATTATTGCGTCCTCCCACCTGACGTAGAGATGCGTCCTCCCAGAGCTAAAATCGCGCTAAAAAATGAGAAATACCAAGCAAATACCGAGCAATACCAAACAATAACGAGGAATATCATCATGTGAAGACCAATACCGAGTTATACCGAGCTATACCGATCAATACCGAGCAATACAAAAAAATACCTAGTTTTTCCTAGAGAAAACTCAGTATGTGCTCGATATTGCTCGGTATAGCTCGATATAACTCGGTATTGGTCTTCACATGATGATATTCCTCGTTATTACCAAATAATACCGAGCAAAAACCGAGTTTTTTGGCGGTGGGAGGATGCAATAATTTTTCCTTCATCGGGGAAAGGAATTAGTCTAATATAACAAATATACATCATATATAGCACATTACATAGTTAGAGTTCGAATAATCCAATTACATGAGAGATATTTTTAAGAGAATTTTAGCCTATTCGTTTGGCCAGTAGGATTATAGTCGGATGACTACAATCAGAGGGCCAGTAGTTAGGCAGAAGAAGGATGTTGGAAGGACAATAATCGAGTGACGATGGTCGTAGGGATCATATTCTGCAGGTGACAAAGATCAGAAGGATCGTAGTTAGTGGGCGAAAGTGGTTGGAGTGGTACATCGATGGTGGCGGGTGGAGGTCCCCATAACTAATGGCTGGTGCGTGGGTCATGTTTGACAGAAGTTCACCAACAATTGTGCTTGGGTAGAACTCTAGAATCCTTTAAGTCTTAGAGCTCTCTCTAATATCCAGCCAGAGGATCCTCTCATGAAGAGAGCATATGTCTATTTATAGATTTTGTGGGTGACACGCTCTACAAAATGGAGAAGATCTATGCCAAATTCAGAGTGCTTAATCAGACAACTCATATTGATTCCTCTGATTAAATAACAATTATTCATGCATTTAAGTGTCGTAATGAGGTCTGGATTAAGCAATCTTAAGATCGTTGTATTCGTCTCTTCTAACCACTTGAATCGACTATGATCATGCTATATTTGGATATCATTTGGTCATCTAATTTATACTTTGAATCTTTCAAATGTGCTTAGACCCCCTGATTTGGACCCATTTGGGCTCGGAATGATTTGATGTCGTTGTGTTCGTCTTTTTGATACATTTAGTTTGACTATAAGTTTGTTGAATTTGGAGTTTGGATGGCTCCAATTTAATTTTGATAGTTGTTAACTCATATATATTTTGAGATTTGTGTCTGATTAAGTGATTTTTTGTGACGTATCAACCAGATTGGTTTATAGTCATATCTAAAATGCTATTATGTTAATTTTTTTATGAATAATATTTTTTTGTTAAAATAATTCGAATAATCCCATATAAAATGATTTAAAAATATTTTAAATGAGTATTCTATATAATTAATTAATGTAATATAAATTTAAAATTTTTAAATCTCATTCTAATCATTTTCAAAATAAACATTTTATTATAATAAATAAATATTAAAATTATAAATAAAGAAAATTTTAATATTTTCATATAGTGTGTGATAAATACTCGAAGATTTGAATTGAGAAAGCTCTGCACCACCAAGTCAAAATACAGATCCCTTCCCTCCGGCGCCAATTCCTGCTTTCATGGACTGCTGTTAGCCTGTTACTACACCTTTTTTCTATACCCCTCTCCCATCCTTTTTTTCCTTTCCCCTTTCTCTCTCGCGCTCTCCTTTGGCGGTTACTTGTCGTCCAGTAGGCCGCCGCCGGTGGGGAAGCCGCTGGTGCGACGTCGTGTGAAGGCGGCGTTAGCTAATGGAGCTCAACGGCGGCGGAAAGAAAAAGAACAATGTTGAACCTACAAGGCGGACGGAATTAAACATTGCTAAAGCGTCTGCATCGTCACTTCGCCAGCTACCTCTCGGCGAAGGTCAGAGTCTAGGGTTTCGCTCCCTTTTCGCTCTCTTTTCGCTCCCTTCACCAAGTTATATTCTTGTCTCCTGCGGTTGCAAATGCCGCAGTATTTGCCTACAGCATTCGCGAGAAAAGCGAATTGTAAATTGAGTTGTTATGGGAATTGGGTTGATTTGTGATCTTAGTTCGGCGTTATTTTTTATAATTTTAATTTTATTTATAACCGGAATTTTTTTTTGGTTGCAGTAATTATCAATGCTTTTAGCGCAACATGTAACATTTTTGAGTTTTCTAATGGTTTGTATGTTTGGTTGGCTGTCTAGAGCTTAGCTTCGGTTTCCGCATGAGTCCAACGTTCTTTGTGAAAATCTCTTATTTTCGGCTGGCTTTCTTAGACAATCTCTCTCTCTCTCTCTCTCTCTCTCTCTCTCTCTCTCTCTCTCTCTGGTTTTATTCTCTTTTTTATGGCTCTGTTATTTTTTTGTTTCATGGGCGAGCTGATGTTGGCTCCGCGCTGAATCAATGAGAATTTGCAATCTGTTGAAACCATTAATATATGTTTCATTTGTCAGTTTGAATCCTTTTTTATATTCTGTTTTATCTTCTTCTTAATTAGTATTTTCTTTTCAGCGAATTCAGTTTTAACCCGAACATAATGAGGAGTTTATACAACCATGCGAATTGTGTTTAAAATTTGTGTTTATCTGGTGCTGATGCAGAGTCGATGCAGCAAATTAGTTCCAGGGCGGGCAACAACATGGACTCTGAATCTTATCCCGAACGTCCTGGAGAGCCAGATTGCCCTTATTACCTCAACAGTGGCTATTGTAAATTGGGAATGTATTGCGGATTTAATCATCCTCCCAGGGAGGTAGTAGATCAAGCCCTTTGACTTTATTTTTTTGAACTAAATTGTTGATCTTCGTCAGATTGCCGGAGTTTTTTGTTTTTGGAAATTTGTTTGTCTGAATTTGCTAATGATTGTATTATTTGCCATTTAATGTGATTTATCATGGTGTTACTGTCCATATTTGCTAAGCAAATATCAGTCAAAACGTAAAGGAGCCTGTGCCTACTTTCTCGTTCCTTTGCCTTTTTTTGGTTCTATTCCCGATAATCTTGTAACAATTACAACTCTTCTTACAGCTCTCCTGCTCGATAATATATCAATTGTTTGGGGTTTAACAAGAATTCTTCTTTTAATCTAATTGGTACGTTGTAAAGGGTTGGCGCTATGCCATGTGATGCAACTTTTTCTTATTAATTGATGAACTCCACGATGTTTTAAGAGAACTGGGTTCCAAAATGTATTGAACATTAGAGTGAAGTATGCACTTCTCAACGAGTAATGCTATACTCTCCTACGAAATGCCAAAAGTTTGGAATTTTCTTGAATGTTCTCCACAAATATGCAACACGCTTAAAGAATGGTCACATGGCTTCATACGCTTGGAGTGTGCCACTTAGGCTTGGGGCACACTTCTCAAGAAAAACACTAACATTTTTTATTTTCTTTTAAGAAGTATAGCACGTCTCTTTTTTACTTGGCTTATATAGCTTGGCTTTGCTTGGTTCCCCCTCATATTATGTTTTATATATATTATAGATCCATATCCCTCATATAATTTTCTATTTATTTTTTATAGTTCCAAATTGCTTGATTCTTACTAAATGACTTTGTTACCAGTAAAATTAAGCATTACCCTCTTTTGTTATGAACATGTTGCAAATCATTTGTATTGCTGATCATCTTGCGAGGTCATCTTTATTTTTTTTGACTTAAGTTTGCTTTCATTAAAAAATAGAATCATATATCAGATCTTATTTTTCTATATTTTTAAATGATATTGAAGGAGAAAAGTAGCACATTAAGGATGATACTACCCAAAGTGTTTGAGTTGCATTATGATAGGAAGCGCTTGTAGAAATAGAGGAAAACCTTGGCTGAAATTGAATTTCAGCAAAGTCCAAATAGTGATTGAGAAGAACGATGTGAAAAACTAGGAGAAAACTTTCTTAATTGATGATATATGGAAGAAAACGAACAAGTTACAATGGATATTCAATCGGAGAGGAAGGTCCATCTCTCACAAATCTCTAGCTGCTGGTTAGAGCCCAAACCATCTAGAAAATTCTAATTTCAGCAAAATCATACATAAACTAACCCTAAGTTTTACAAAACTACTTTAAACATACAAGCTCTAGTAATATACCCAAAACAACTCTCTAATTGATTTTTCCTCCTAAACCGCCCTTTGCTCTCTCTTCATTAAGCCGTGGGTCCCACCCCAAGGGAACAAAAGGTTGCTGGGCGGACCAGGCTTCTATTTGGAGTAAACATACGCCGGTCCCTTATGGAAAGATCAAAACTAATGCTTCACCCTCTCATTTGGCTCACATATAGCGTCATAGTCGGGTATGTTTTTCCATTTTATTAGCACGTTCTTGATTCCTCCTCGCTGTTGTATCCTTTTCAGCTCTAATAGTTCCAACACCACCTCCAAATCCTTTGTCACTGGTCTAGAATTACTCTGAACTAGATCATGATCCCCAATTGCTCTCATCCACTGTGACACATGGAACACTGGTATATGGTAGGGGTCGGGGGTGACCTCAACTAACAGGCTATGATGCACCGACAAGGACACGGCGACACGGACACGACACGACACGGACACGGGACACATTAATTTTTAAAAATATAGGACACGGGTGCGGCATGGACACGACATAATAATTTTTTAATGTAATATATAGAAATTAAGGTGATATTATAGTAAAAATGACAAGCAATAATAAATCAATTTCATGATAACTTGTTTAGCTTATAACATAAAGATGTTTAGTAAAAAATGTCTAGTACACATTTTTATTCCATGGCAAAAAACTTTAAGCAGATGTGCCTTCACCCTAGAATAAGATCCTTTGTAGGTTTGAATGACACATTCTCTCATCCTTCAAAGGTTTTTCCTAACTTTGTTACATGAATCCATAAAGGCTTATCAGTTTCTACAGATGGCTCTTTTAAACACCCACCTAATCCATTCCCGCCAGCAGGAGAGCTCATTTTGCTAACAAACCAATCATACATATGAATACATCAAATAAAATTAATATGAAGTGAAATCAAAATATCCCAATAATAAGACAACATGAATACAACAATATACCAGTCTGCCGAGGGGCGCTGCCGCCTAGCAGGGTTCGACCTGTAGTTCTGCTTGTTTTTAAAGTTCGTAAGTTGTTTGTATGGGAAGATACCGAGTGGTACTGAGCATGTACCTAGCAGTACCGAGCATGTACCTAGCAGTACTGAGCGGTACCGAGTATGTACCTAGCAGTACCGAGCATGTACCAAGAGGTACCGAGCATGTACCTAGCAGTACTGAGCATGTACCAAGCGGTACCGAGCATATATTGAGAAGTACCGAGCATGTACTGAGCAGTACCGAGTGTCGGACATGCGGAAAAAGGCTAAATAGAATGGATGATTTTATCATTTAATAACCGGACACGCGTGTCCGATTTTAATTTTAATTTTTTAAATTGCGACACTCCAATGTCGTGTCAGACACGTGTCCATGCCATGTTCGACGCGTGTCCGTGTCCGACACTGCATACCCTCTTTAAGCGGAGTGTCGGTGCATCATAGCTAACAGGTCACTGCTCCAATCTTCTCCAATATCTTATATGGGCCAAAGTATCTCGGAGCCTTCCTCTTATTAGTTACCATCCTTTGTCTATAGGGACAAAGCTTCAAGTATACCCTATCCACTATCTCAAAAATGAATGTCATTCCTGCACCCATATGTTTGTTTCTTTATGATCTACCAAGCCCTCAATAAGTGCCTTTTTAATTTATCCAACACCCTGTCCCTCTCCTCCAAGTACTGTTCCGCTAAAGAAACTGGTGTGCTACATTGCCCAAAGTGCACCAAGTGAGGTGAGTCCCTTATGCACAACACTTTGAAAGGAGTCATATGGGAAGCTGAATGATAAGAAGTGTTGTACTAGTATTCTACCCATGATATCTACTTGGCCCACGACCAAGGTTTCTCTAAAGGAAAACATTATAGGTATGTCTCCAAGCTCCTATTTATCACCTCTGTCTGTTTGTCTGTCTGAGGGTGGTAAGTAGTGCTCCTCTTCAACACTGTTCCCTGTAACCTGAAGAGTTCGCTCCAAAAATGATTGAGGAAGAACTTATCTCGATTTGATATTATAGACTTCGATATCCTATACAGTCTGACCACCTCTCTGATGAATGTCGTTGTCACTATTACGGCTGTGTAAGGATATTGTAGAGGGATGAAATGAGCATACTTTCTCAATCTGTCAACCACCATCAAAATCACTGTAATCCCTCTGATCGTGGTAACCCATCTGTAAAATCTATGGTGACCTCCTCCCACACTCTATCTAGAAGAGTTAAGAGTTAAAGTTATGCCCTTGGAGCCATGGCCATGTATTTATTCCTCTAGCATATCTCACATGTAGCCACCATCTCCTCCACATCCTTGTACATCCCCTTACAATACAATTTTGCTACCAATCTCCTATATATCTACTACACACCAGAATGGCTCATAACCGCGCTCCTATGAAACTCTTGCAGCAGTTGTGGAATATGGATTAAGTTCTATGGCAACACAAGCCTCCCCTAGTACAACAGTCTCAGCCCTTCTAGGGAATAGCTAGGGTGGCTACTCTCAACCCTTAATAGATCCACCCTAATCCTCCTCAGCTTGTTGTCTTGCATACTCTCCTCTTTAATAGCTCCCAATCCAACATCATTGGTATCAAAATGCTAACTCCTGGAGCTCCCTCGCACATCTAGATAGGGCATTAGCTACCTTGTTCTCTAACCGCGGTTTATAATGGATGTCAAAATCATACCCCAACAACTTTGACAACCACCTTTGATGCTCCTCGGTTATCATCATATACTATAACAGGTACTTCAAGCTCCTCTGATTTGTCCTGACAATAAAATATCGACCAACAAATAAGGCCGCCACTTTTGAATGGATAACATGATGGTCATTAGCTTCCTCTCATAGTCTAACTTCAGCCTAACTCAGACGTCAACACCTGGTTGAAGTAAGCTATGAGCCTCTGATCTTTCATGAGCACTGCCCTTAATCCATATCCGAAAGCATCAATCTCCACCACGAAAGTTTGGCTGAAATCTGGTAAGGCTAAGATTGGTACTGTGTTCATGGCATTCTTCAATCTCTCAAAGGCTTGAGTAGATGCCTCTCTCATAAGAAGCTATCCTTCTTCAACTGTTCTGTTAATTGCCAAGTTATGGTGATGTATCCCCTCACAAATATCCCTAAGTACTTAGTCACTCCTAGGAAACCACACAATTCCCTCAGATTCCTAGATAGAGGACATTTCAACATTGCTTTAATCTTGTCATGATCAGCGACCACCATCTCCTGAGATACCACGTGCCCCAAGTACTCCACATTTGCTTGTGCAAAACTACACTTTTTTAGGTTGGCCCTTAGCTGATGATCCTGTAACACCTCTAAGACAACCCTCAAGTGCTGTAAATGCTCCTTATTCGACCTATTGTATACCAAGATGTCATAAATAAAAACCAGAATAAATTTTCTAAGGTATGGTTAGAATACCCTGTTCATGAGATTGAAAGGTAGTAGGGGCGTTGATGAGACCAAACAACATCACCAAGAACTCATAGTGTTCCTCATATGTCCTGAATATCATCTTTGGGATATCTTCCTTTCTCATCCTGATCTGATGGTACCTAAACTTCTGGTCCATCTTCGTGAACAACACTGCTACACAAAGCTCGTCCAGCAACTCATGTATCACTAGAAGAGGAAAGGAAACTTGTATAGCATA